CATGGATGTTTCGACTCTGAACGGAACATCGGAACTGCTCCTTTATGACTCTTGACACAAACTCCCCGTTCCTTGGCGCAATTGTTCCGTTTATAGGCTCTACCCGACCAAGATCGCCCTCCATACTGTCACCTCCCTAAATTTGTAGTAGAAGGGTTGTGCGTGCTTTACTGCGTCATTGGTGTTGGAGGGTTTTCATAATCTTGCCACTCCCTCTGTTTGAATATATAAGGTGTATTAGTTTTTCAAAAAATCAAACCTCTGTAAAACTTGACCAAAATTATATAGAAATGTATAAATATTCATAATATCGAATCAGTATCATTCAATGCATCATCAAATGATTTTTCATATTTTGTTTATTTAGTATTGTTGATGTCGATATTTTTTGCTCTAACCTTGGTCAAAGTTAAATAAATTTGACTTTCAATAAACAAACACACCTTATATTTTGGAACCGAGCGAGTTTTTAGTTTTGCGAGTGGGGAGATGATGGAGTGTGTTTTCTTTTCTTTATAATACTGTCGGCGGGCCTTTCACGGTGCGATTTTGAATTATATGCTAATCAACCAGTATTTATGTGGGGAAATTTTATGCGTCGATGGATGGATGTATGTCTATTTTGGTGCTAACATGTTGGCGCTTGTTTTTTTGTATGTGATGAGAGGGTGCGCGGGGTTGATATAAGGTTGTTTGCTGCCGATCAATTTGAAAATTTGTTTACCTTATCAAAATTGTGAACCAAATATAAAGCTGAAACCTCCATCAAATGGAAAAGCTTCAAAGTTAAGGAGCATAGTAAAAATGAATTGAACGAGGGAGTTCCCAAGAAATTGCTGACCCGGTCTAAATCTGATCAAGTCAGTATCGTGAACCAAATCCAAAATTAAATTTATAGATTTCCTTGTGGCTGCGCCCTTCTACTCCGAGGCAAGGAGCATTTGCATCAACACCCCTGGTGTTTCATTCCCATCCCACTTTGGGTCCAGCAGCAGCATGATCATCGAGCGCGCTGCGCGTGCCCCCAGCAGTCCGAAAATCTTCAAATCGTCTGCGCGGGAGGAGAGGAAAACATCTCCCCGCCAAAATCCACACCAGCCGAGCCCGTTCGGGTTCCGCCGCGGCACCCCGCGTAATAAATTGGGGCAAAACGGGGGAGAAATCTCCCACAGTCCAACTGCAGAAGGAGGCCTAGCCTAGCTAGGGTTCAGGGCGCAATCCGGCCGGAGAGAGGAGGGGGTTCTGCCGCTTCCCGGTGGTCTCGCTCGCGGCGGTGATCCCGCCGCCCTTGCCAGGAGCCGGCACGCCTTCCTCTGCGAGGTAAAGTTTCTCCGATCGCGGCGATTTCCTCCCTCCTTTGCTTTGCTTTGATGGTGCGGTTATGCTGAAACATATCGCCACTAGTGATCACGATTACTGATTAGGGAAGAATTTCATCATGTCAGTTGAACTGGAGAACATGGTGATGACGATTGCTGATTAGGGAAGAATGTTTCTATGGCTGTTGACTAGGAGGGCGGATGAATTGTTGTATGAACCGATTAGCTGCCAAGTTGTAGGAAACAGAAAAAGGATGTTCCTTTTGTGCGTTTTGGTGAGTTTGTGTAGGGGTAGCTGTTCCGGTGATGATGATTACTACTGATTAGGGGAGAATGCCATTGTGTCAGTTTTTCTCGAAAAATGACATCATCTCAGTTGAATTGGGGAACAGATGGATCTTGTGTGGTATGGCTAACATGTACTCCCTCCGTCTGGAAATACTTGTCATCAAACTGGATAAAAAAAGGGTATGTATCTACATGTATTTTAGTTCTAGATATGTTTCCTTTATCCATTTTGATGACAAGTATTTTCGGACGGAGGGAGTAGGACCAACTTTTTTTCGCTCTAGACTAGAGGTTGCTACTGTTAGGATGGCGATTGAGGGGTGTCATGGATCCCCGATATATATTAGGAAAGTGGAAATTTAGTTTCAGAAGAAATATCACAAAAATGGAAAATAGTTCATTCATACCTGTTTTTTTCTACAGGCATGTCGATGCCAGATGACTTTGTGATATTTCCTGCTGAAGGAAAGATTTCCAATGGGCCTGAGGGAGCACTAGTGAGTCCCGATTGCCCATTTCTGGTCGCACGTCTGCCACAGCCACTGAACAAGTCGTTCGAGCAAGTGCGACGCTGGATAATGCAGCTCTTCCAGTTGAATGATGGGACACATGAGCTCACTCTGCAGCACATTCTGTATGTCAGGAACAATCCCATGGCTCCCCCTTCCACTGTGCTGATTGACATAATTGGGGACGATTCCTGGAGGGCGTTCCTGAATGTGGCATGGCGCCATGTTGGAGTTTTCAGGCTGTTTGTCAAGTGGAGTGCCAAGAAGACAACCTCTGTTTCTAAGGCAGTCGCCAGCAATGGCACACCGGTTGCTGATGAAGATCCTGCAGTGACAGATGAATCTGATGATGATGGCAGCTGGCCAACTTGCAAGCATGATAAACCTTGCACCATTGAAACTTCATGGGACCGTCAAGACCCAGGGAGAAGGTTCTACCGCTGCCCTCTCTTCGCGGTGAGCTTTCTTTGGAAAATGTTTATCTGGGTTGCATATACATGTAATGGTCTGAACTATCACTGCATTGATCCACAATGATAATCTATGTCTTCGTTTCTGTTTTTGTCAGGATTCAAAACAGGACTGTGGTTTCACCCAATGGCTGGACAGGAAGTTCCCTGAGAAGGCGATTGAGCACATGAACTACCTCACGGACAAGGTTGATTCACTCGAGCAGCAGGTTGACAACCTGAAGTGCGAGCTCGAGGAACTTCGTCATCGTCGCCAGAAAAGGTCGATCGCAGAAGCTGTTGTCAGTCATGGAGACAAGTGCCCATGTGGCAAGATCCCTTGCGATGTAGCTTGTTGCAATCAGGATGTAAAGCCACGCCCAAGCCAGATTCGTAGATTGGCCAACGCCAATTAGCCCTCAATATGTCAAGTGGTTCGTGGTCCAGGCTAGTTTCATTCTGCGATGAAGATATTTTGTCCATTTTCTTGTTCAGTCATCAGCAACCATCATGACCTGCAAATTTGATCAGTGCTCTAGCCATCTAGGTAGTTTTATCTGCTAGCTATCATGGAACTCCTTTGTCGCTTAATTCAGACGAGAATATGATTACCCTGAAACTATGGTTTATGTAACATGCACTGTTTAATTAGTTTGACTTAGGCATTTTGCATGAGCATGCTTTTTTTTTTCCTTTTTGTTGCACAACATCTGTACATTTATCTGACTGTCACATCAAATTCAGCCATACTGAAAACCTGGGCCTCCTTTGGTTCATAGGATTTAGGATAAATGAGATGACATATATCTCAAATCCTATGAGTAAGAATAGGAAAAGATATGTCATTTGGTTCACATCATAGGAATTTTTTCATTGAGTCTAGGCTCATGTTTATTTTCCTTTGAAATATGAAGGATAGGAACCAATCCTACGTAGGAATAGGAATCCATTCCTATGAACCAAAGGGCTCTAAAGGAAAAATTCCTACAATAATCCTATCCTATAGAGTTCCTATGAAATTCCTCCAAACCAAAGGAGTCCAACCTTTCCAGCAAGACACAAAGATGATGATGGTTTTTCAACGAAAACAAAGGTGACAACTTAGAAAGCTGCAAATACTTTTGAATCCATGACTTGCCAGTTAGAGATTTTCCTAGACAACTATCACAATATATGATTTATCAGGGAAAGGAAGCATCTGAATCTTACGAATTACAAGACAAAAGGCGAACATTTCTAGCATGAACACCACCTGAAAGATGCAGGGCGCGAAACAACATCTGAAGCTATTCCCTATTTATATTCTACGACCGATAAGTTCCCTATTTACAGTTTAAAGCAGCCACCCCCTCTCCCTTCCAGAGAACGGTACATCAGAGCTTTTTGCTCAGAATCCAGTACAAACCAAACGGAAAATGATGTTTCAGATGTAGTATATTTGCCCAACATTAAGAAGGCTCTCATGAGGAATGTTGAACATCACACTGTTCTCCCTGCAGATCCTCCTCATGAAGGCATACAAGTAATCTACAGAAATCTTCTTGATGATCCCTGAATCTCTCCGAGCGCGCACAATGGTGTTCCCTAGGATGTGCACAACACCAGCATCCCTGCACCGGTTCAAGAACTCCACTTCGTTGCTGACTGTACGGTTGGTTTGGCTTGAGTACGTCAACAGATTGTTTACCCCGAGCGGTGACTGCACTGGCACAATAGAATCCTGTGATGAGTAGCTAAGGTCACCATTGGAGCACATTGTGTTGACAGTTTTGTCTGCCAGAAATGCAGTGTTGATCGATCCTTCAGTCCTCTGCTCTGGTAAGCTGAACTCGTCGGAATCTGAATAACCATCCATCATGCTCTCGAGTCGGATGAATAGTGTGAGGCAGTCAAAGAGCATCTTCTCAAAGTCATCATCTTTCTTGTGGAGGTCTTTATACCCGTACCGTGCAATACAACGGAATATATGGAAGTTCTTCGGCCCAATCCTCCTCACAAGGAACCGTTCCTCCACCGGGACTGTGTAGACTGGAAGATACTTGACACACACGAAGACAACAACCGAGTGGATAGCAGGTAAGTTGGTGATAAAGTGGGAGAAGATGTGCGGTACGCCACTTGCCAGCTCAGTGTACACAAAGCCTATCCCTGGAACCCTGACAAGACCAAGGCTCGGACCAAGGCCAAGGATCCAGGCCATTGACACCTTGCTGTGCATCTCAAATTCATACCGCTTTACAGTGCAATAGTGCCACACATACATGATGATGAAGAAGGCTATCGCGATGACAAGCGGGACCCAACCACCCTGGTCAATCTTCAATATGCAAGCCCAGAAGTATGGTAGCTCTACCATCAACGAGAGCACAATAAAGGTGACGACAAGAATCCAGTGACTCTTCCACACCAGCAGCATTATTGGTACCATGAGGAACGTTGTCACTAGCATAACTATAACCACTGCAGTGCCTGTTCACACAACAGTAAATGTAAATTTAGAGTTGTCTGAGATATGAGCGGAGATTATATCATGAAAATTCAGCGACAGTTCTTATTTCAGGACAATTTCATTCTTCTATTAGCATTCACTCTTTCTATTATAAGGCAACCTTTCCTTTTAAATTGTCTGCATGTAGCTTTTCCAAGCTTAGCAATATATACTACATGGTGTTGCAAACAAGGAATGCTCATCAGAATCCATATTTAGAAAGTAAACCTTACCGTATGCATTTCCTATCTGGCTCTGGTTCTTGAATCCAGCAGTCACAGCAATACAAAGAATAAGGAGGAGCCAGTTGATGTCAGGGATATAAATCTGCCCGAGAAATTTCTTCGAGGTGTGGACTACCTTCACGCGGGGGAAACATCCTAGTGCAAGAGCCTGCTTTATTATCGAGTAGGTTGCAGATATGGTGGCTTGGCTTGCAATTATTGCTGCAGCAGTTGCTATAACAAAGGCTGGCCAGTATATGGCATCTGCAATTATTAAACATCTCACTATGAGAACCATAGTACATAAAGCAACAGCACTAGTACACTGTCAAAGTGTCAATAATAGCTACGCCCTATGACAGTGTGCACACGGCAAACGTGATGTGCTGGCACATCGACCAATCTATCTTAGGGTTAGTCGATAGGATGACAAGCTATAGTATCTGAGGATGACCTGGAATGGAGCGATAGAAGGCGTCATTCACATGTTGCTTGTTGGAAATTATATAAGCTGCTTGCCCTGTGTATGCCAGAAGAAGGCATGGGAATACAATGAAGGTGAATGCAATCTGAATGGCCAAAACAGGAAAATGACATAGATCCGCAAATAACGCTTCAGTTCCTGAGGAGAAAGAAACAAATTTCTGCATGTCATACGGGCTCTATTATAAGTTGATGGAAGGTAATTTCTGAACCTGAACACGTAAAACGGACTGACCTGTGATGCTAAGCATGATTCCTCCAAGAACAGTCCAGGTGTTAGAAGAATTGCCATTCCTTCGGAAATAACGGTATATATAGACTGGATTGTACGCTTTTAATACAGAGCTACCATGCTTGTGTATGTTCAGTGCACCGACGCTTCCAATTAAAATGAACCAGATGAGCACTATAGGTGCAAATAGCCATCCAACTTTGTCTGTACCAAAGTGTTGCATGCTGAATACTCCAATCAAGATGATCACGGCAACAAGTACAACAATATCTGCCAGATGCAAAGAAAATCAAAGATGAAGCGATTTTACAACATGGATTTATGCAAAAGATAGAGTATAAGGGTAACAGTACATATGAGATCATAATTAATACGTAATACATAAAACAGAGGTGAATTGCACTGACTTTTCATCGTTGCAGTGATTCGATGCTTCTATATACTAACCTACTTGAAGAATTTACTGAAGTTACAGCATGGAAGACTGAAAACACAATATTACCAGTACTCATGTTTGGATTCTGAACTTTTATTCCACCTGATGCAGAAAGAACTGTGAAATACAAATCACAAATCAGATTCCTGGAAATGTTCAATTTACTCAGAAAAATATGATGCTGAACATGAATTCGGAAGAGATTATGTAGAATACCTGATATAGCAGGAGTAAGGATTCCATCTCCAATAGCTGTACAAGTACCAAGGAGAACAAGAATAAGAAGACAGTTTCTTTTATATGCGCGTGTTTCTAGCCATCTCTTTATTTTTGCTGCCAATGAGTTCTCCTCATAAGTTTGCCGACTATATGTCGTTAAGTCCTCATCAGTCTTGTGTTGGTTGGGTATAGTGCTGATCTTTGCATGACGGCAGAGAAGTGAATATAGAGCAAGTGTACCACCTGCAAGACAAGAAAAGAGGTCACCACCGGTGTAAAACTGCAAGCAACTTATCAAATCAAGAAGTCACAGAATTGCGCATGGAAGAGTTTCTTTCCAACATTGAGGCAACAGTAAAGTGATCTCAGACTAAACTTTCCATATAAAATAATTTAGCTGCCGCTCTGGCATCTCATGACCAGAAAGGCATTCTGCTAAAATATTCACCTACCAATCTGATGGAAAAAAAATGCTCTGTTATAGTTGCCACTTATTAAATTCAACTGTGCTTGGTGTTGGCTAATGTGTAGAAATAAGCATTTGAGATGTATTTCAGTCAGTATTTTCCTTTTTTGCAAAGTACAGAGCAGATCATGTGAGAATAAATCATCTCACCTTGACCATTGTCATTTGCCCGCAAGACAACAAAAACATACTTCACAAGAGGGATGAGAGTAAGGGTGTAAATGATCAAGGAAAGAGCTCCAATAACATCCTCGTTGTCGTTTACTCCATGAGGAAAGGCATTATAGAACACATAGAGCGGTGATGTGCCCAAGTCACCAAAGACCACCCCAAGGCTCTGAAATGCAAGCCGCAGCATCAAAACTGATGAGAATTTCTGCATCAAGGGAAATAACAGTCAATATAAAATCTTGATTTAGTAGCCTAACAACTTCAATAAACAAACATTCAGTTTCTTTTCAAGAATAAACAGACATTAAATTTCAGGACTAAAGATTCTTCTGCTAATTGTTTCATCGAAATGGAATGCACAAAAAACAAGGATAAACAAAATCACTGCTCCTTTTTTCTTTTCCCTGACACGCCTGGAAGCGTGTCATTTTCACTACGAAGAAAGCATTAAAATCGCTATTTCTTCAGTTACTCAGTAATCCCACCATCATTGAAAATTAAAATGGTAATCCCATCATACCAACTACACCAAATTACTTCGTACCCTACAGATGACAAACAATATGTTGAAGCAGTACAGCCCATATCAAAGTAGCACATCTGTTCCAGATGTCCTCAAAGCACAAACTGCACAATGAGATGAACTGGTCACATGCAGAGACCAATTTTACATTCTCTGAAAATAACCAAGTCTTGG